GGTGGTGCGCAGAGAAACCACCTCATCGGACCAGGTTGACAAGCCGTCCTCCACCTCTTTAACGCTTTGCTTAAGGTGGTCCAGGTCGGCGCTTTCGAAAAAATTTGTTTTGAAGTGTTTTACTGTATATTAGTTTATTAAACTAGAGTCTAATAATCATAATAATGCTTTGATGTTTTATAAATTAAATTATATATTATAGATACTTATAAATAAATTATAATTAAAAATTAAATTATACATTTGAACTAAATTTTTTTCTTTGTAATTTTCCTAAACAGACCAGAACCCAGCACTGCAGGATTAACCTGAGTGTCCCTGTCCTGGACTGCTTTTTTAACCAGGAAGATCTGAGACCAGACTTCAGGCTGAACAGGGAGTCTCTGGCAGTGTTGTTGAATCTCCTTAAACAGGATCGACATCATAGTTGGGGTGCCACAATTGAGACCCTGGATTTTCTTTTCTGGTTGGCAAGTGGAGCATCCTACAGGGTGGTCTGTAGAGTGCTTGGGATGCCTCGTTCGACTGTCCACTGGATTGTCAATCGGATCACAGAGGAGGTGGTGGCCATTCGCCACCAGGTCATCCACCTCCCTAAAACCCCTGAAGACCTGGAGGTTGTGTCCCTTGGGTTTGCAGGGCTGGCAGGTCACAGAGCCTTCCTGAAAGCAGCAGGTGCAATCGACGGCTGCCACATCCGCATCGAGCCTCCGAGCGGGCCTGCTGGTCAGTGCTTTAGGAACAGGAAACGGTTACCCTCCATCATCATCCAGGCAGCGTGTGACCATCAGGGCCACTTCATCGACACGTACGTGGGCTGGCCTGGGTCAGTGCACAATTCCAGGGTGCTCCGCCACAGCCCACTGTACCGCAGTCTGTCTACCCTCCTCCAGGGCATTTTATCCTCGCAGATGGAGGGGTACCCATGCCTCCAATGTCCACTCCCCCTCATCACACCCTACAAACGGCCATTGCAAGGTGTGGGAGTCCAGCGCTTCAACAACCATCATTCCAAGGCACGCTGTGTTATAGAGCGTGCCTTTGGGATGATGAAGACCAGGTTCAGGGCCATCTTCCTGCAAGCGCTGGAGGTGCACCACACCTTTGTACCTCATGTAAGTGAACACACAGTAGKATCTCACATTCTTTAAATATAGAAATGTGTATATATTCTTATATACAAATTTTGTTTTTTCCCTCCATTGTAGGCCATCACTGCCTGTGCCGTTCTCCACAACATCTGCCTCAGTGCTGGTGACATCGTGGCCCCGGAGGATGAGCCTGAGGAAGATACAGTGGAGGATGAGGAGGAGGCTGGCTTTGAGGCAGTCAGCGGTGCTCGCTGGCGGGACCAACTGTCTGCTGAGGTGTCTGCCCTGGAGGGGGTACCAGCAGACCACGACTACTGCTAAAAGGCAAGTAATTTATCAAATAATCTTTATTTTTAAAAAGCACTGTGTCCTTTTGTACTATAATATGAATGGAAACCTATTAATATTATCTGGTTTGCATATTTTGACATCACTCTCATATACAGCATCTCCTTGTGTAAACTGCTGAATAGTTGAATGATGCACAGTGACTCCATCAGCAGCAAGATGATGTTGTAGGTCTTTGGTGCTGGTCTGTGGGTTGACTCTGACTGTTCTCAACATCCTTCYCTTCTGTTTATTCCAGATTTMTCTTGGTCTGCCACTTCSAMCCTTGACTTGAACTGTGCCTGTGGTCCTCCATTTTCTCACAATGTTTCTCACAGTGGAGACTGAAAGATGAAATCTCTGAGATAGCTTTCTGTATCCTTCCCCTAAACCATGATGGTGAACAATCTTTGTTTTCAGCTCATTTGAAAGTTGTTTTCAGACTCCCATGCTGCCACTCTTCAAAGAAGATGCAAAGAGGAGAAAAACCTACAATTGCCTCCCTTAAATGCCCTTTCTCATAATTGGTTTCACCTGTGTATGGAGGTCAAGGGTCACTGAACTTACTAAACCAAATTTAAGTTCCAATAATTAGTTATAAAGGTTTTGAAA